GGCTACCAAGTGAGCTCCAGGAAAGGTGCAAAGCTACACAGAGAAACCCTGTCTCGAAAAACCAAAAAAAAAAAAAAAAAAAAAAAAAAAAAAAATAATAATAATAATAATAATAAAATAAAATAAAAATAAAGATTGAATAGCATATTTTATTTTAAACAGAAGGTTTAGTTGTTTTCTTTTATCCTAGGGTTCAATTAAGGACCAACTAAAAGCATATGGAGCTCTTACTGAGAATGTGACTAGGAAATACACTCGTCAGATTCTGGAGGGGGTCCATTATTTGCATAGTAATATGATTGTCCATAGAGATATCAAAGGTAAGTCATAAATTACTTTTTACTTTAAATACACAGTTTTGTTTGAGTATGAATGAAAGAAATACCATTAAAGCATTGAACATTTAAACTGTAAACTACCAGAGGGGAACAATTCTCCAGCTTTCTCATGGACTCTGTTAGTGTCCTGTCAGACTAGTTCTGAAATTTGGGCCTACGTGAATGATTAGCTTTGATGTAAGGGTCCATAGGATCAGTTTCATTCAGACACCCCTAGAATAATATAACCATGTTTGTATGAGTACTGCCTGGGCATTAGGGCAATGAGCAGGGGTTCTGCATCACAGAGTTGGATTCAAACTTGGGCTTCATTTGCTCTAACTGTAACCTTGGACATGTTAATCTTTCTGTATCTTCATTCCTCATTAATCTTTCCATCCCTCTCTCTTTCATCCTCCTTTTTCTTCCCTCCCCATGGTGCACACCCCCAATTTCTGGAGATGGAACCTAGGAAATTGCATCTACTAGGCAGCTTCTCTATCCCTGAGAGGCACCCTCTGCCCTCTCTTTTAATTATTCTTAACTTAGAGTAATAATAGTATTCAATTTATAGGATTCTTTCAAGGATCAAATGTGTTAACATGTTGCAATGTTTAAAACAATGCCTAGTGCTCAGCACTTAAAACTTAGCTACCGTGATGACATGCTTTATGTTATAATTGTATTTCAAGTCATGGGAATAGATGTCATGAAAGAATAAAGAGGAAGGAAGGGAAGATCCCAAAATTGAGCTTTAATAAATTTCAACTAGGATAAATTCACTTTCCCCCAGGGATCAGATATAGAAATGAGTACATGGAGTGAGTTAATGGGAGAGATGTGTAAAATTTGAGAGTACTAAAAACTCTTTACTTGGGAGCCTACCTGAGTCTTTAAAAACTGAAGTATGACCCAAAATTTAGAAATCACTGAGTAAAAAAAGTAAATTTACTCATTGATCTTATTGCCCCTCTTACAAGTTCCCAGATTTCTGCTTTTCCATATGGTAGGGGCGCATCTTGACTATGTCCAGATTAGGCCAAGAAGGAAAGTGCCAATCATTTCTGGTAATTGAACAGTACTTTCTACCATGAGTCTAGTATGCAGAATTCCTGAAGCAGGTTACATGCACTATAATGGGCCTTATTAAGTATAAAAGCTGATACTTTAAAGAACTTCATAAAGAAATTATTCAGTTAGGAATATCTAGTCCTAGTTAAGTTAACTTCTCTTTGGCCCTCAAAATGAAGAAAAGAAACAAAGGCAGCTGTTTTCTGTATGGATCAATCTTCTAATCTTACCAGAAAGTGTGATGAACCACCTTGGTCAAGTGAAGGGGGATGAAAGCAAGCTGATATATAAATATTACAGGACAAATATTGATGAGAGAAAAATAAGATATAAAAATAGGTTCTCAAATTTGTAAATTTAAGTATGACAGAAGGAAAATGGTGGCCACCAAATGGCAACACAGTGGCATTTGCTTTCTATAGTATACTTTTGACTTGTTCTGCGTCTTCTGATTCTTTTGAACAATTTATAAGTGGCAAATGGAAAGGTAAAGATAATTGATTTCATGTAATTTCAGACCTGTCGGATCATAACAAAGATGAAGATCATTACTGTTAGAAAACCCACTCATTTCCAAAGTTTATTCCCCCAGCTCCTCTTCTTTCCTTTTCCCTCCCATCCCTCTAAATTCATCACAGTTTTTGTATTTGAGTGTGTGTGCATGTGCATGCGAGTGCCACAGACCATGCACAAAGGGCGGAGAACAATGGGAAGGAGTTGGTTCTCTTCCACCATGGAAGGCACAGGTTTACTCACTGAGCCATCGCTCTGGCCCTGTTCTTTGTTCTTTTTGTCTTTCTGGGAACTGTACTGTTCACAGGCTTGGCAGTGCATACCTTTAATTGCAGCAGAGGCAGATGCATGTAGATCTCTGAGTTCAAAGCCAGCCTGGTCTATATATTAGGGGCGGGGGAAGGAACTATACTATTGAATAACAAATAGTTAATAAAAGGACAATTTATTTTCTTAGTGGTTTTGTTTGTGCATATGCACACCCCAGAAAAGGACAGGGAATGCCCGCTCTGTCTCTCTCCATCTTGTTTTCTTGGGTCAGGATCTTTCACTGAATCTTCAGCTTACCATTTTCTAGCTAAGTTGGCTGGCCAGGAGTACTAGTCATCCTCTTATGTCCTTGCCCCTGGCACTGAGATAACAGATGCATGTCGGTACACCCAGTTTTTATGTGTATGTTGGGGATCTGAATTCAGGTCCTCATACTTGAACAAAAAGTACTTTACCCACAGAATCCTCTCCCCATCCTGGATATGTTTTGTTTTGCTTTAGCTGTTAGTTGTCTAATTGGATGTTGGATGGGAGCAATGGGAACATAAGCAATTCTGTCTGCCCTTGCCTATGTTGGAAAAGCCTTATTTTAAATTTATTAAAATACAGTTTAAAAACCAGAAAACTGTGTTGGGAACCTGGCTGCCTATTTTTTTCTTCAGCTCTTCCTGTGGGTGAGCATTAGTTCAGTATTGATGCCACTTCTCAAATGGTGACTCTGTGCGCATGCGCATGTCTGTGTAGGGAAAGTGTCCTCTGCTTGTAGCCAGTAAAATCTGGCTCATTAAACATGTGTAGTTTCAATTACTTAGGAAAATTGAAATAAGAGGATTGTGAGGCTCACTTGAGCCCAAGAGTTCAAGTTGCCTGCCTGAACATGGCAAGACCACATTTCAAGCAAACAAAAAGGTCTGTTTTGCTTTGTGATTAAATAGTCTAGAGATAGTTGGATGTTTTTCTGAGTCTTTTTTTATATACTAGATGTAGGAGATCATAAACAAGCAGAGCTACATTAGAAAATTACTGGTGGGTCAGACAGGCTTAATAGGTTTTGCTGAGAAGGATCCTAGACTCTCCTGTGGAATTACTGCTGGTAAGGCTGGGGAATTTTCTGGGAGAATAGAAGCTCATGGTGGAAGTGGAGAGGCTGTATTCTCTATGGTCTGTAATGTAGATTATCTGCACTATTCAGCCTTCTCCATAGAAATCATTAAAACAAAAAAGTGTATTCTGGTGGTTCATACCTGTAATTCCAGTGCTGGGGTGCTGAGTCAGGAAGATCTCAAGTTTGAGGCCTTGAGTTAAAAATAACAGCAACAACAAAAGAATACCTTAAAATACAAGGTAACTAATGCTGCAATAATATGGAGTAGGTAGAAGTTTTGATCATGAAGGTCCTTTTGGAAGTTCCTGAGGAGAAACTGGCTTACCAGGAAAATAATCTTCAGTCATGGACTTCTTGCTTTGTAGCAAACAAATGCGGTTGTGGTGGCGCATGCCAATAGGATTTGCTGAAGGAGGTGGAGGCAGGAGGATCACGAGTTCGAAGCCAGCCTGGGCTACACATTTGGGGGCTGGAGAAATGGCTCAGAGGTTAAGAGTACTAGCTGCTCTTCTAGAGTTCCTGAGTTCAGTTCCCAGCACCCACATGGTGGCTCACAGCCCTCTGTAATCAGCAAACAAATGGAGCCAGAGCCTTCCTTGGTGCTTGGCTAAGCTTTACTCCCAGCCCTTCCCCTTCCTCTTGAACCTCGCCTGGCCCTGCCCCATCCTTTATCTGAGAAGCTCATTAGGTTCTGAAACACCTGGAGAAGTGATGGCTAAACAGCAGATGCTTAATGCAAGGTAAAAAAAAAAGGACTTGCTAATCGAGGCATGCCAGGCACTGCTGGGACTAGACAGGCAACCTAATTTGGGGACAGATTGGAGTCTACACAGTAATTCTCTGCCACTTATTATACATTCTAGAATGCCAATAAAATCTTTGAAATAAGACTATTTCTTATTTTTAGGAGCAAATATCTTGAGGGATTCCACAGGCAATATCAAATTAGGAGACTTTGGGGCTAGCAAACGGCTTCAGACCATCTGTCTCTCGGGCACAGGAATGAAGTCTGTCACAGGCACGCCATACTGGATGAGTCCTGAGGTCATTAGTGGAGAAGGCTATGGCAGAAAAGCAGATATCTGGTAAGTTTGGATGTCAGATTTGCCTGGAAACTTACCTTCTTATTTCTACCCACATTTGAAATTGCCAGATTCACATTATCCTGTGTACTTTGGAAGCAGGATATATGAATTGTAATGATTAATTCCATTTTAGTTATACCTTAGCAAGGCTAAGACTAAATACTTGAGTTTTTGAAATATTTTTCCTTCTGTAGAAAGGATTTTGTCTTAAGCAAACCTCAACATTAGAAAGCTCTTATTCCCCTGAGTAACTTTTAAAGAACTCTTGGCTGTCAGTGTCTTAAAACAACAACAAAATTAAAAAAAAAAAATGAATAGGTGATTTTCTTTTTAAGTCACAAAGGTATGTATAAACATTTGAAAACACATAATTGCCTGTATAAGATGGGTGAGACTACAAATAATAATTGGGGTAAGAGTAAGTTATGAGGTCACCTGAGGAGATTAATTCATCACTCCTGACATACCCACCCACCCTAACATGAATCTTGACTCCTCACCACCACCCTGGGCTGGGACATATCAGACTCTACAAACTTTCCATTGCAGGGATATTTACTTAAAAATTTAAAACCTTACAGTGAAGCACTGTAGTTATGAATGGGTCATCATGTAATTTCTGTTTATGTGTTTGAAGAACAAGGAGATCTCCATTAATAGCTGGATTAATTAATTAAAAACATTAATTATGTTTTGATTGCAAAGTCAGATTTTCCAAGGATCTTGAATGTCAATCATATAATTATTTACAATAAATTGATAATTGCTTTACAGAAATAAAAACTGTTGCTGTGGTGGTGGTGTGATGTGGTATTTTCATAATATGCTTAGCTCTGTTGTTTTTGGAAAATGCATTATTGGATTCTGGATGATTTAAGGTATCTGCAAGTCTTCCAGGTAAGGAAGAAGAGAAATGATGCTGGTGCCTATACCAGGGGCAGGGCTGTGTGTAGTTGTTAGTATCTTAAAACTGAATTAATAAATCACATAAGTTAGGTCACAAAATGGCCATTGTCCACTTCCCAACCAGGGAAAAAATATATTGATTTTAGGAACTTGAAAGCAAGTAATTTATAATACTTGTATTCTTTGTATGATAGAGACAGAATTATTAACATCATGTTAGAAAATGATCTAAAACAAATATAATAAAGTTCTTTGCCTAACCATACATTTGTGATCATAGATAATTATGATATATTTTCATTGAAATGTATACATTGCTCCAGCCTTTCATTAATTTTCATGTTTGAATTACATTTTTATTTAATTAACCTTTGAGTGAAACTTTGTATTTGAAATAAGTAATATTAAACTATATGCCGACTTATCCCAGTTTCTATTTTTTGGCTAATCAGCTTTCTTTCCTAAAGTTATTACTTGGGTAATGCTTCTTTTTATTTCTTTTTAGGAGTGTAGCATGTACTGTGGTAGAAATGCTAACTGAAAAGCCACCTTGGGCTGAATTTGAAGCAATGGCTGCCATCTTTAAGATTGCCACTCAGCCAACCAACCCGAAGCTGCCACCTCATGTCTCAGACTATACTCGAGACTTCCTGAAACGGATTTTTGTAGAGGCCAAACTACGACCGTCTGCGGAGGAGCTCTTGCGGCACCTGTTCGTGCATTATCACTAGCAGCCGGCGCCTGCTCCTGTGCCCCCGCCAGCCCCATCCTCGGGTTCACCTTCTCTCTTACTGCACTTTCCTTTTTATAAGAATGAGAGATGGGAGACAAAGACAAGAGGGAAAAGATTTCTCTTGATTCCTGGTTAAATTTGTTTAATAATAGTAAACTAAATTTTTTATATTTAATCTTTTTTTTCTTTACAAGAACTTGAAACTTCTTTTTTTTAAAAATTTTTATAATGTACTGATGTGGTTCAGCGATATAAAGCACTTTAGTACATAGTTGCTCTTTTTAGTACAAACAAATCATTTGGAATATATAAAGATTGTAGTCTTGCCCTGTATCACTGACATGGAAGACAAAGAAAAGAAAGTGATGTACAATTTGTAGTTTTTAGTGATAGTATTTAAATAGATCCTTATTTGTGGGGTGGAGCCCTAAACTTGAGTTTAGGGTAGGTACTCAGCTTAAAGAATATAGGTTCCTTCTTATATCTGTATTCTTTAGATCCTAACCTCTGTCTATCAAGCTTTTTTGCTCAGTAGGAATCTTGATTAGGAGATGCGAATCTCTAAGAGGTATGTTTGTTAATCCTAAGCAGTATAATAGACAAATACATTATAGTGGATCCATGTTACTGGAATCTGTAAGCCTTGAGAGACAGCTTTCTGCTTAAAATACTGTTGTATTTGAAAGCAGATTATGTGAAGCCAATGAGTAAATTCAACTAAAACACAGACGACTGCTCATTAGATGTATGAGCAGTAGAATAGACCACATTTGCCAGTCAGTAGAAACAATGGAAAAAAGAACCAAGTGTCATTTAGTATATTTTAAACATTATTTACTTGATGGGAAAGTCCCCAAATGAAGGGAACTGAGAAATAATAAAAATTGTATATACTATCTTCCTATTTCCAGCCCTATAGGTAACCATCTTCAACTCAAATACCCACTTGTTAAAGTTCCTGTCACGAAATAAAACCTTGTTCTTGGGATCCCTGTGTACGTAGCCAGAGGGACCTCAGAAGAACAAACATGAGGTAGAACTGAGATCAGTGGTGGGGAGTCCTTCACTTCACCTGACATCTGTCAGTGCCTGGAGACACTGTTGCCATAACTGACACGGTACTGCTGCATCTAGTGGGTAGGGGTGGGGTGCTGCTAAGTAGACTAGTGCACAAGGACTCTTCCCAGGAATCATCCTGCCACAGAAGGCAGAAGTGCCTAGAAGGAAAACCCAGTTATAAGCCAAAAACAGCCCTTCACAAAGCAGAAACCCAGATTTCAGAGGAAAGACGCAGGGCCATGAGGGTCCTGAGAGGTGACGATTAGTCAGGGGTGCACAGCTCAGCACAGCAGGCAACAGTCGGTCCTTTGACAGCTGCTGGTTGTGTTGGAATCACTATCTCTTTAGAAATAATGGATTTGAGTATTGAACCTTTTGAATTTTGCATCTCTGTATATTCTTTCCTTAAAAGTCAGTTCATCCTTCTAGGCCCAGAAAAGTATACCAAAACAAAGTGTTTGCTAGCAGTGGGAAGGTTAAAGCACTGCCAGATAGTTCCAGTGTAAGCATCTACTTAGAGCCAGGTCATTAAATGGAAAGACTAAGCTGGGGAAGAGCCCACTGTCTCTAGTAGAATTATGAGACTTGAAAAACATGAAGGTGTCAGTAATTTGGCCACTTGAAATTTTTCAGCATATTAAACCAAGTGCTAAGTAGTTTATTTTTTAAAGTCTAGATGATAACAGTCTTCCAGGAGACCCTGAATGGGATGCTTTTCATCAGAAGGGACTAAAGAGTCTGATTTCATTGTTGTTATTATTGCAAGGCATGTTTATTTAGATATTTTTTAAGTACTTGGCTTCTGAAGTTATGTAGATCTGGCTTTAATGTATCAAGATCCTATCCAGCATACCCTGTAATAATTTTTGAAATTCCAATAGTCTAAGAGTCAACGCACAGAATGTTAGTTAACACTTCTTTACAGTGTCAAGCAAAGGAAGCCCCTTACAAAGAACAAGCATTAGGTGCTGCTCACCTCAGCAAATCTTAATCTTATGCTGGAAACCTAACGTGTGCGTGTGTTCTAATTTCTTTATCTTTTATGAGTGAGGGCATCTTTTCTACTTGAGCAAAATTATGGTACCTGGATTGCTGGGGTTTTATTTTGTTTGTTTTGTTGTTTTTTTTGTCTTTAGTCTGGTTGTGATTTCTCTTTGGCTCATATTTGGTCCATCAGGGTAACGTGCAGTACAGAAGAGAGACAAACCCTCTTCAGAAAGATACTTGCACACTGGAACTCAAAGCAGGTGTTAGCTTTTTAACAGTCTCCTAGTTCTTTTCTAAATTCAGTAGTAAATAGCTGCATCAGAATACTTTTGCTTTTAAGAAGAATAAAATTATAAAGACTTAAAAATAGACTAATAATTTACAGAGTTATTATATTGAATATGATGTGAATTTATTTCAGACTAGTTGTGAAGGTACCAAAAACACAATGAAAGTTTATATACATACATATATACATACATATATATGTATAAAAGTATACACACACATGTACATGTGTATATATATAAAAGTGCAAACCTTGCTAGAGCAAAAAAGCTTGAAGTAGATAGGGGTATGGGACATGGAAGATCAATCGTAAATTTAAAAAAAAGAAGTTTTTGAAAGGAAACAATTTGTCAAAGGAAGTAAAATATTACACTCCATTTTTTTTCTGCCTAATAGTATGGGCTGACAGATGAAGTTTGAATTTTTAAAAATGACTCTAAATGTATTTTGTTTTTTTAAATGCACAACTGATTCTTTGGTACTGCAATGTTTCTTTGTGGCTGGGAAATGGCCAGACTTCTGACTTTGTGCCTTTACATGCATTCTGCATTGCCAGTAGCAGACTTCCGGTGCTGGAGCGAGATCCACTAGCAGCGACAGATGTGCTTTCAGGAAGCACCGTCTGCCGAGGCCCTGAGAGATTCAAAGTGGTGTGACAGGAGTGAGTCAAGTGGAGACCTTTCGCAGTGCAAACAAAGGGTTGAAAACATAACCAGTACAGTTCTTGATGGATTGGTATTAAAATGTATGGAAGTTATACATACTTTGAGGTTTTCAGAATGAATGCCTTGAACAATTTCAGCACTTTTCCTTGTTTACAAAAATATATTTCTAACTTTAAAAACATCTATAACTATTGCCTTAGAAAGTATTAAGAGGCACAATCTACAATATATGAGAAGTCAAATATTAATGCGCATGCTGGACTATAAAAGAAATTAAAACTGTTATTTCAGAATAAATTGAATTGGCTTTCATTTGAGTCTTACCTTGTTCCCAATAGAAATTACATAAAAAGTAAAAGTACATCTTTAGAATAGCTTTCTGCTACTAAGTTCTGACATTGGTCATGTCTGACCTGTACTACTTCTGAAATAGAGTTGTTATAAAATATGTGAAATCACTAAGAAAATAAAATCAAACCTGAATAGATTGGCAGATGACCCAGCATGATGCAGACTCCTTGGCTAATGGCAGAGTTTACGCCAAAGGTTTCATTTGGGGTCTTGAGAACCTTCATATAAATTCAGCTGGAGTCAACCAGGTACACAAATATATGTCTTATTTTAATTTGTGTTTTTGGAGTCAGGGTTTTCACTATGTGTTTCAGGCTGGCCTGGAACTTAAATGCTCCTGCCTTTGCTTCCCAGGTGCTGGGAAAACAGGCATGTGCCACCACACCCAGCTTTGTCCATTTAAAAAAAAAAAAAATAGGGTCAATCTTTTTAATTTTCTTACTCAATAATTGTGATGTGCTATGTCACATCAAATTAATATCCTTCAAGAAGTTACAGTGGAGGAGGAGAATGGGCAGACAGTTACTTAATGGCATACCCTAACTCTGAAAGTTTAGCAGTGATGTTTAAAACACTAGGATTTTTATATGAAATAATAAGGAAGAAATTTTGGATAATTGTTGACTATTGTAGACTCCAAAGACAGTAACAAGAAGGATTAGAGTATAACTATCCCAATATCCCAGGTTAGACAGCCTCTGTCAGAACCTGTTCTTACTACACCACGCAGCCCTAGTCTGTTCTGTGACAACGGAGCATTTTTTCCTTAGCACACTGTATTGGGGTTCTCCCTGACCCAGCTGTTGTTACTGTTTTACTTTGGTTTTTAAGGGGAAAAATAACCCCAAACTTTAGTTTTTAGGTGTTAAAATACCCAAAATATTTGATAGAGGTTGAACTCCCGCCAAGTGTTTCTTATGCAAAGATCAGGTTTTTTGAGACCTTATGGTTTTATCATTAAATTTGGCATTTACTTTTAGATGTAACATTCATATTTATTTGACTTTAACACTGGTTAAACTTCAATGAAAAGCAATTTGTTAATTTTTAGTAGTGCCTTTTTCTCTGTATGCCTTAATTTTATTTTATATTTGTAATTCGAATTACCTAACAAAATGAAGGTTTTTCCAGAAGCACTAGGCCTCAAGAGTTTATCTGGCCTTGGACTGTGTGTTGGCCCCTATGTGTTTCTTATTGCTTATTTCTTCCTCTTACCCTTTCTACCTCTTTTTTTAAAAAGTTCGCAGAAAAACAGTAGTTCTGATTGCAGTCTCCACTAGATGTGAAGTCCTAAAATAACTATAGAAAGGCATTCTCATTCTAAAAGACATAGTAAATTGATTTTTTGATTGATTACTTGATTTTTCAGTCATATTGGCACTGTCCAAGTTCTTTGTGTCTCGTTATTCGGTTATGGTTTTCATAGAACTAGGATTGTTGTTTTGCCCTAAAGAGCTCCTTTCACAAATGTTGAGGCAATGAGCATGAAATCCAGGGACAGCGAATTCTAATCCTTAGTGTTTAACATGTTAACTGATACTCTAGCTTACTGTTCTGTGAGTGTGTGTGTGTGGTGTGTGTGTGTGTGTGTGTGTGTGTGTGTGTGTGTGTGTTTGGAGCTGGGGCAGGGGTAGGAAGGAAGGTGTAGTTGTTCAATTAGATCTGTCTCTGTTCTTGGAAGAACAATTGAAAATGTATGATCTACTAATGTGGGGTGAGAATGGTCATCCTCAAGTAGGCATGCCAGTATATTTTCCGTAAGTAGCTAGTACAAATGATTGTTTAATAAAGGTATTTATTGTAAATTGCCAAGCTCTTAGTTGCTAAAAGTAGGTTAAAATCAATTTGTGTGTTTGTGTGTATAATAATTAGCTTATATATAATTCTTAAATAGAAAGTATTCAATCTTAGCTATTTCTCCATGAACTTTGTGGAATAGAAATTCTGCCAGACGTTATCTAACCTAACCAACTTCCTTAGCTTACCAAGTCATCAAAAGGAAATACTGTTGTACCTCTTATTGGTTGGTTAAGGAAGGTGTGCCGTGATGCCACTGTTCCTACTTCTTAGTCAGTGTTCGTGTTGCTTTGACTCCTCCCACTGTCCAGACAGGATGCCATACGAGCTGTGGAAATGCCAGGGCCATCCTTCTCTCCATTCGCACTGTTCAGAGTTGGAGATGATAAGTTTTCAGGGGAACCTAGACATTTCTTTTCTCAGAGGTACTAAGAGTGGTCAAGGTTGAGCTTCAGGAAGGTAAGGGGGGAGTCATAGCTATAGTAAAGAAATGAATAAATTGTATCCATTGCCTGTATACAGTCTCATAATTCATGGTTTGTGTGTGTGTGTGTGTTTTAATAGACAGTCATAAAGTATTAGTCATACGCTGGGCGGTGGTGGCGCACGCCTTTAATCCCAGCACTCGGGAGGCAGAGGCAGGCGGATCTCTGTGAGTTCGAGGCCAGCCTGGTCTACAGAGCCAGATCCAGGAAAGGCGCAAAGCTACACAGAGAAACCCTGTCTCAAAAAAAAAACAAATAAACAACAACAAAAAAAAAACAAAGTATTAGTCATAGGGTATTGTTTCCTAACAGCAAAGACATTAAATAAGAGAATACTCCTGTCCTTCTGCCTGATGATGTTTGTTTGTATCTCAGTCTGTATTACCAGAATCACTTTAAACCAAAGCTTTTGTATTCCCTGCACATATAGCCAAAATGACTAGCCCTGTTAAATTTGCCCATGTGTAAGCTAAGAGAATATAAATGGTAGAGCAGATGCTAGTAGAATTTGTATGCCAATCTATCCTTCCAGGAAAAGGACAGGTGCTCAGTGTTCGCATTTAGACATGCAGAATTTCCTTCAACTATTGTGGAGCTATGTAGATTTGCAGACTTAAATTTGTATGTGTGCCAATCTTACTGACGTCTTTTGACCACTGATGTATGTAGATTCACATTAACATCTGATTCCTCAGATTGGTGGCTTATTTTCTTTCTAGTGTCTTAACATTAATGAGCTGTGTTTGACTTAAGGGACATTTAGACAATGCTGTGAAGAAAAGTAGGTCATGAACTGCAGTCTGCTTTGTGCCATAGACATTTGGAACGTACAGAAGCATCTGCTCTCTAGTTCTTTAAAGCTTACAGAATCTGTCCCCTGCTTAGGATTTCTGAATCTTGTAATGCCAGTTGAGAAAAGTTTATGACTGTTTTGAAAAGCACTTTTGTGTTTATTATTTGTATGTTTTATAACTTTTTTAAAAAAAAACAGTGTAATCAGTGATTTTAGCATTAGCGTTACTTAGAAGGGAAGATAAGTAATTATACGTTAAACTCTAGTAGATGCTTTGACTCCAGGCTATATTTGACATGTTCTCATTTTTCCAAAGACTGTTTTTCCCACCTGCAGTAAGGAGAGTAGACAAGTGGGAAGCTACAAGCCAGAAAGGCGCATGGGCAAAAGAAAGTGGGCCAAACCCTCGTGAATTAAAACCACATTCTCTAGGGAGGAGAATACTTCTTTAAAGACAAACAGTTGTGGGTGGTTGTTTTTTTTTTATAATTAGTAAGTAAAAGGTTTACATTTCTTCTATTGCTGTTGGTTTTTAAATTTAGCCTGCATTCTGAAATATTGTAACCAAGTTAATACCAAAAAATACTTTTAATGTCTGACATCTCTTATATTTCATGTGGTTGTTTTTACTCATTGTAAATAAACTTGGATAAATTTGAAAACAAACTTTTATCTTACAAACTATGATTATCAATTTGTAAATTTACCCTTTGACTTAATGTAAATTTAAAATGTATCCATTAAATTCTCTATATTTAATGTATTATTTTCAGCAAATGTTTTTAATCTCAGTTGAATACTGGGCAGTTTATAATTATGTATAAATATTTTTTTGTTTCTTACCAATGTTGACTTTTTTGCACATTTTCCAAACATTTAATTTGTACACTGATTTATATGACCAATAATGTTGAGTGTCTGCGAATCATGAGTGTGTGCATTGAACTACTGTCTTCGTGTTTGCACTTCTTCCAGATGTAGCCCTCAGTTACGACGCTGCTACAGTACTTAGTAGGACCTTCTTGCTTTTGCAGAGTTACCTTGTGTGGTTCTGTCTTTGTTGAGGAACTCAGGAGTTCAGTGTTGCATTCTAAGTTTATCCTGTATTCTGAATCAGTTCCTAGGTTGAAAGTATTCTGTATCACAAGCTATGGGTTTGTGTGGAGATGTCCTTTTCCATGTGTAGGTACATGTATATATCTTAGTAAATTCTTATTTTCATTTCATTTCTACAATTTAAAGAACTTTATGATAATTAAATATATGTAAAAGCTTTCTGAAAGATTATTTACTATATATAAATATACTATATTTTCATCTGGCTGGTCAAAATTATTTTTTAAATTTTGGTTTTAACCATTTAAGCATTTGTAGTTCCAGAATTGGATACAGCGTTTGCTTAGAGCTCAGTTAAAATACTCTTGCAGTTAACATCCTTTTTTGGGGGGTGGGATGCAGGATTGTTAAGCAGTAGCAAAACACACTGTCCACTAACATGGCATTTGACTTCTCAGAGCTGTTAAAAAATGTGAGCAACTAAATAGTCTTGAAGACATGTCAAGATTTTTATATTTCCATTACTTTAGACCTGTCTGGCTATTATTTTTGAATATTTCCTTTATTTCCAAAATTTTCAAGTTTTAATTTTTCTCTTACTGAGCAAAGTTAGACTGAGTCTATGAAACAATGCATTGGCATTGTGATTCTTCACAGTTGACTACCATTGTGTTAGGAATCTCCAAATACACAGAGTGTCTTTATACTGTACTGTGTGTTTTAAGCAACCGGCAGAAAAAGAGTTGGAAATTAGGTTTCCTGTCTGACAATGTTACTGTATTCAGTGTTCAGTGGAAGCCTTCTAAAAGTATGTGGTGTTATAAATGATTTGTGTTAGGAATAAAGTCTCCAGTTGAAGTTGACTATCACTAAGCTTATTAGGTTGAAAGGAACCCATGTGATTAGAACCTACCAGAAGCCAGACACAGTGTAGTATGTGCCACATTTCATACACTTTTTGGGTTTGTTGTTCATTCAAAATTGTGATTGTAAAAAATGTGTAAAATTTCTTGAGTTTTATAATTTCTATGTATTTTTCTCTTGCTGGTAAATAGCTTTTTAAAAATTTAATATAAAAGAAACCATGTTTATATTTTGTTAGTGATTATGAGTTTGTTTATATGGCAATTTGTGTATTATTGACACATCTTTATTTAGATTTGTCATGCATGAAGGCCTGCGATATTTAGTACAGTGAGACATACTTTTTCTTTCCTGTTCATCTTTGGACGGATTGTAGTACAGAGGCTTACTATCAGTAATCTTCTGGACTGTAGGATGGACATAAATGATGGCACTTTGAGTGTTAATAAAGCTGGTATTTATTCCCACTGTGATTTGTGTGTACAGATATGTTCTTCGACATAGTGTGTTTGCAGAAGTTTCTTAATAATTTTTTATTTTTATTTTATTTGCATTGGTGCTTTTGCCTGCATGTATGTCTATGTGAAAGTGTCAGATCTTGGAGTTACAGTTGTCAGCTGCCATGTGGGTGCTGGGAATTGAACCCGTGTCCTCTGGAAGAGCAGTCAGTGCTCTTAACTGCTGACCCATCTCTCCAGCCTGCAGAAGTTTCTTCTTGCTTGCTTTCTCTTTGGAACACCTAGCAGTTACCTAGAAACTCTCGATGTCTAAGCCTATAATGTCCATAAAGCCTCTTTAATAGATCTTTGTGTGGACATGATGGCCCAAGTTAAATGTAGTAGTAATTAAAAACAAGCACAGGGCTAGGGGATGGGTCAGTGGATTAAAGTGCTTGGCACACAAGCCTGGGGACCTGAACCCAATCCTCAGAACCCATGGTGGAGGGAGAGAGCCCACCCGTGATTTGTTCTCCGACTACATTAAGAATTTAAAACAACAAAAGGCATCTGGTAAAAGAGATTCAGAGTAAGAAAAATACTTTATTCCAAGAAGAGAAAAGAGATTCAGAGTAAGAAAAATACTTTATTCCAAGAAGAGAAATAGAGGGGAAGCCATGAAGAACACAAAAAGATACTGGGGGGTGGGGTGGGGGGCAAAGCAGAAGGGGATGGAGATTCAGATGCCAGTTCAAAAGGGAAGCTAGATGAAAGCCAAGCAGTCCTGTTAGGACAGTCCTACATCCCTCATGAGTCTCAGCTCCAGTTGTGGGGTTTGGTGAGAGTGATTTCTCTGGTAGACGGGCCAGCAGAAGAGAGAATTCCCATTTTGTCACAACATCTTGAGAAGGGACTCTATTGTTAAAACCTGAGGTTCTCTGGGGGCCATTTGCTTGGCATAAGGTAAGGTCCAGAGAGGCAGCTGTGGTGAGTTCTGGGGCTGGATCCTGATAAACTGAAGGGTGCAGGTAGCAGGGGGCTGACTAAGGTGGGGAAATGCACAGGGAGAGATAGCTTTGTCTATGCTGGTCTGAGAACAGCTCTCAAATAAGAACCCTGGAGTTGGATAACTCATCCTGAGGCCAGTGGGTGCAATCAAATTCTGGAAGCCATCTATGGTTCACTCTTCCTGAGCGAAAGAACTCTGAAGTTCCAGGGATGCATTTGACAGCCACAGCTGAATCCCTCCAGCAGTGTGATTAATACTCAAGAGGCTTGAAAGTAGGAAGGCAGTCCTCCATCTGGACTGATCTCAGTGTTGTGCTTGCTTCCACATTCCCAATGAATGTAGGATTCCCTGCCCACCCGCCTGCCCAGCCCCAGGGTATGATCTGCAAAGTCTTTAGAGGGTGAGAACCTGCTTAGCCCATAGAATGCAAAGCTGGGTGAGACCAGCAGAGGCACCCAGAAGGAAAATGGCCACTATGGAGACAGCTCTCATAGACACTGGACACATTTTTAGCACAGACTTAGCAGCAGTATAAACCAAAGGAAACTGAGTCCACAAATTCAGCTGACTTTCACTCCCCTGTGTGCTTGCTTGGTGTGTGTGTGTGTGTGTGTGTGTGTGTGTGTGTGTGTACCCATTGATGCAAGAGGCTGATGTCAGGTGGCTTCCTCTATCACTTTGCTCATTTTTTCTGGTGTGTGTGCAGTTGCCCTTCTTATTTGCTCACCACCTATAGAGGCAGGGTCTCTCACTTGAATTCAGAGCCCAGTGGTTTGGCTTGCTCCAGGAACCTACAGTCGGCTTCCTGCATGTCATCATTAGAAGCAGGTTACCTGGCCCACCTGGTTTTGTTTTGTTTGTTTAGATTTATTTGTATGAGTGTTTTGTTGAATGCATGTCCACCCCATGTGTGACTGGTGTCTGAGAGGTCAGAAGAAAGCCTTGGATCCCATGGAACTGGATTTAGGGATGGCTGCGAGCCACCACGTGGGTGCTGGGAAGCACACCATGGACTTCTGGAAGAGCAACAAGTGCTCTTGGCCATTGAGCTCTCTCTTTGGCTTTTACATGGGTGTTCCATAGCTCTAAATTCTGATCCGTACACCTTTGTGGCAAGTGCTTTTTCACTGAGCCATCTCCTCATAGCCCCACTTCACTTTATTTATTTATTTTGCAACAGGATTTTTCACTAAATCTAGAGCTCATTGATTAGACTGGCCAGTAAGCCCCAGGGATTCTCCTTTCTCTGCCTCTCAGCTCCAGGACCACAGCTATGTAACACCATGCCTGCCCCCATTTATGTAGGTTCTGGGGATCTCAAATTAAGTCTTCAAGCTTGTGCAGCAAGTACCTTTACCCACTAAGTTATCTTCCCAGCTCTCTTAAAAAAAAAAAGTCCAATTTTTTATTGCTTGTTTGCTTTTTTTTTTTTTTTTGTTAGCATAATGGGCTTCATCGTGACATTTTCATACATATGACACGTGTGGCTGCTTTCCTGCTAAGCTACTCATGGTCTGGTTCCAGAGAGTAGCACCTAGTCCTAATCCGTCCTTTGTTTAACCTTTTGTTTCTCTTACGGCCCTATGTGAATCTTGTCTGAGAGTCAAGGATCAAAGAGTCAGTCCCAAGGATCAAAGGACTGTGTAAAACTTGGTTCAGGAAACCTGTAAAACCGAGGTACCTGAGAAATCAAGGAATTTGCACTTGGCATTTTATCTTTGGGAGCTCCTTTCAGGTTACTTTGAAGGTATTGGAATTACCTGGCTAAACTGTAAATAGAGGGAAAATAAAAATGCCCTAGGCAAAGGAAAGTGTCTCAGTCCTTCGAGGCTGGACCCCCTTACAGCCATGAAAGGCTACATTCATTCTTTTTTTTTTTTTTTGGTCTTTCGAGACAGGGTTTCCCTGTGTAGCTTTGCGCCTTTTCCTGGAACTCACTTGGTAGCCCAGGCTGGCCTCAAACTCACAGAGATCCGCCTGGCTCTGCCTCCCGAGTGCTGGGATTACAGGCATGTGCCACCACCGACTGGCAAGCTACATTCATTCTTAAGATGCCTCTGAGTCTTCTTTGCATGGATCCCTGTGAACCCACACACCCGTGCAGCTACAAACAGTGACAGACATGCTTTGTTATTTTCCTCCCTCTTTCTGGTCCCCTTCTCACACCCTTCTACTTTTTCTAAGTTTTGCTGTTTAAACCTTGCCCCCCCCATGACATTTTATTATGAACAGCAAACAGATTTACTACAGCTACCTACATCTGACTTGCTCCAAATCATCTTCCAAACCTGAACTTTCCCTATGTACAGTAAAAGGGCCAGCCAAAGAAATTCACCCTACCCCTAAAACCAGAGCTAGTGAAAGAAACCCACCCTGGCCCTGAAACCAGAGCCAGTGAAAGAAACACTTTATCCCTGAACCCAAACCAAAGAAATACATATTGACCTGAAAACAGTGCCAAAGAAACATACTTTGGCCCTAGAATCAGAACCAGTGAAAGAAACATGCTCTGGCCCTGAAATTAGAGCCAAAAGGCTCAAAAGGGCCAGTAAAAGAAACACACTTTGGCCCTGAAACCAGAGCCAAATCTGGCCCCTGACCAACTAAGCAGATAACCAATCTCTGAGCAGAAGATCTAGCCAATCTGAGTTCAAGGACTGAAATCTGACCAATTCCCACTCTTAAAAACTTCTCCTTGGAAAAACACCGCCCCTATATAAGCCCTGTGCCTGTTCAGTTTGCTGCTGGCCTTTTCCCACCCTGGCAGAGGCAGCCCCCCTCCTGGATTCTTCCCTCCCAATACATCTCTTGCAAGAGGTTTGGGTGAGACCTTCTTGCCGGGGGAACAGAGTGGAGCAAGGTTGTAACACTTCAGTTGGGGAAAGCTTCCCCTAGGAAGCAGACCTGTAACAATTCTCTGGGGAAGCCCTCCCCTGCCCGGCAGAGCTGTTTATATTGGTGAAACCTTTCCTTGGAGCAGAAATATAAAGTGTTATGTTTACTGTGACTTGTGCTTGGCTTCCTTCCGACTGCCAGAATACTTTTCCATCCGAGCTGTAACACTTAGTATTCCTTGACTCCTGATTGCCAGAATCCCTTTCCATCCAAGCCACAATGCTTACACCCTAAGGTACATCATTTTAGAAGTTGTTGAAACCAAAAATCTTGGGTGTTATTTTTTCTTCCTCTACACTTCCCATATTATCCCAGTCAGCAAATCTCATCTATTTCTCTTTCAAAATAAACAGGGTGAAAACAGTCTTCCTTTCTTTTACTTTTACTGGAGCTATTCCAGGACCACTCTACTATAATTTTTGGAAACACGTAACAGGTATTTCAAGCTAGCTTCAAACTATTAGGTAGCCAAGTATTGCTTTGAACTGCTTTCTTGCTTCCACTTTCCTGGTGATGGGATTGCAGACCTGAGCTGCCACACTTGGTTTGTGTGGTGCTGGGGCTGGAACCTGCTAGATGTTAGGAAAAAACTGTCTCACACACACACACACACACACACACGCTGTTGACCAGGTTTAGATGGCTCAAAGCAGTTGACCTGATCCTTCCCCTTTTTTTCCCATTCCCTTTGTGCCTTGTTTTAAAACTGGACAACTGTAGCTGGGCGGTGGTGGCACACGCCTTTAATCTCAGCACTCGGGAGACAGGCGGATCTCTGTGAGTTCGAGGCCAGCCTGGGCTACAGAGTGAGTTCCAGGAAAAGCACAAAGCTACACAGAGAAACCCTGTCTCGAAAGACAAAACAAAAATTGGACAACTGTCAACAGATGTGAGTGAGGTCTGGCCCCAGCCAATGGGGAAAAGACACAGTCACCAAATTAAAAACCACGTGAACCGCCTGCTCTGATGTGTTTGTTAGTCCCTTCGGGTTCTGGTGCACCCTTTTTCAAAAAGAATTGCCTTGCCGAGTTATTGCTCGTGTCATCCTTGGTGAGGCACCGAGATTATTATTCTTTGGTTTCTGGCAGAGGCACAAAAGGAGCCACACCCCCATCCAGGGCCACTCCATTTA